AGTCAGGAAGACAGGAACCTGAAGAAGGCTTTCTCCACAAAAGGCCTCCTTGTTTCCAATGGCTATATTCCAACGGTGATATTCCAGTGGTCATAAATTTTGTGGTGCTCTCATGTCACATGAATGTGGGTTGTTCCTGGAGTGGTGGTGTTTTGTGCAGTTGGTATTTTCAATTCTCCATCTTTTTTGCTCAAAAATGTAGCCTTAGTTTTAATCAGGAAGAGACGTCTGCAATTTCTTGTAGTGCAAACTCATTTGTCCACTTTTGGAGGTCTTTTGCATCATTTATTGTCCATAGCTTTGCAAAATATTTTAGCCTGTTTCTGGAGAGAAAAGAAAATACTACTTATTTTAGAAATGAAATTGTTGGGGGACAATACATCACAATGCAAGCTATGGAAACGCTAAGGAATACTGCTGTAAGAAGTTCCCGCATTATCACTCTTCTGGTGAATGGAGTTTGCAGTGTTGTTGCTAGAAATCAAGGGATGGAAGTTGTGGGTCACCACTACTGCTGTCTGCAGGGAGAGAGAATACTGTCTCCTCTCCCGCTAAACTACTCACAGTGGCACGTCTGAGCATGTGCGCAAGCACTCCTGATGAAATGCTGGTAGCAAGACAAAAATGTTATTGGGTCCAATTAAAGAAATATAATGAAAGCGTATAATGAAAGCAATCATTACATTGGCCTATGTTTTTCTTTATAAAAACAATCCAGTTAAACATTCTGGTTGTAGAGTCCAAGTACCTGAGTTTCAATTACTGCTCTGCCAACTAACAGCTGCTCTACCCTTCGTTGGGCTCATGTTCCCCAGCTATAACATGGAGTTAACAACAGTCCCAACCTTACAAGGTTGTCAGAAGATTAAGTGAGCTACACTATGGAAAGCAATCAGAACATTAATAGGCATACAGTCTGGGTTGCTGCAAATAGCTGCTCAGGTCTGTTATGGCATACAGTAAGTAAGCATTCAGTAACTACTGGCTATTATATCAAGCCAACAGGGAAGGCACAATATTTAATTTGGCTTCTGTGATCTGGTCAATGGAACTGATGTGATATACACTTTTAGTGAAAATCCCAATTATGTTCACTTCTAACAATTCTCTCATCTTTCAAGATAACTGTAGATTGTAGATTTCAAAGTGTCACATGCTAATTGGAAGAGTTAAAATAGTGATAAGTAATCTGAATATTATTCTCTTGGTTTATAAGTTATATGGCAACAAACATAAACTATTGTATTCTATTGCCATCTTGTATATGAGGGTTAGCAAAAATTTATGGCTATAAAATCATGGAAACTTTTATTAAACAAAAATGTGAAGCTACTGTTTCTCAACACATCCTCCATTTAAGTCTATACACTTCTGAAGGCACTATTTCGATTTCTTGAACCCTTCCCCAAAAGGTCGGTTGTTCAAGCTCACCAGCTGCTCTTGGGAAACCCTATACAGGGTTGCTATGAGTCAGACCGACTTGATGGCACTTAACAAAAACAACATTTCCCCAAAGAATTCTGTACTCTTTGATTTACACCAGGTCAAAATGTCAGTTTTAGCATCTTTGAGGGGCTCAAATTGTGTTCTTGTTCAGTGTTCTTTGAATTTGTGGAACAAAAAAAAGTCTGAAGGGGCAAGATCAGGGCAAGATGGTGGTAAGGTTTTCCAATGAAATTTTCATAAGACAGTCCTTGGTATGCTTGAAGAATGAGGTGCACTGTCGTCATGGAAAAGAATTCCTTGGTACAGCTTTCCTGGTCCTTTTTTCACCAATGCCATTGTTGTTCATATAAGACCCTGTGATTGTTTTGTGTCCTTCAAGAAAACATATCAGGATTACCCTTTGGAAACCAGTTGCCATAACTTCTAAGCTGACCTCTCTGCCTTGAGTTTAACTGGCCCAGCAGATCCCCTTGGAAGCCATTGTCTTGATTGCAACTTGTTATGAATGCATGTTAATGAGACTAAGACAAGTGTATTACTGAGAAAATGTATCTGTAGCCACCCAATGATCAATAAGACATATTCAAACAGGTTTTATTTGGAATAAACCTGCACATAGATCAACTGGAACCCTAGTAGCAGTACTTCTTGACTTATCCTCATAGATCCTCTAATGCAAAGTTTCCATTTAGTTTCTTTAGGGAAATTAAGACAAATAATAAGACAATAGCAAAGAGGATTAAAATCTGTCTTTGGACTTGTAAGTTTGTTTCATTGCTTTGGAGCTGTGGTGGCAGAAAGTTATGTGCTCAGCTGTAAATCAAAACATTGGCAGTTCAAACCCACCTGCCTCTCCACAAAAGAGAAGACCCTACAATCTGCTTGTGTAGATTACAACCTAGAAATCCCAATGGGGCAGTTCTACTCTGTCATGTATGATCTCTAATTGAAATCAACTCAAATGGCACACATCAAGAAGTTTTGTTTTTTTTAAATGTTCATAGATAGTATTTTGTTTTCTTTCCGGAAAAATTGTATTAATGTCACTTGTACCAACTAGAAATGGTTTGTTTGTGATGACTACACCACTTTGACTGCTTCTGATTTGACATTGCTGAAACGATCGAGAAGACACTGTCAATAGTGGGTACTACTTGTCATTTGTAGTAGTCTTGTACTTTGACTTGGCCAACTGCCATATGCAAAGTGAAGTCTGCAAGCAGAATCACAGAAGAAGGAGATGGAGAAAAAGAAGTGAGCCATGCAACTGTACTTCAGTTTGCAAGTTAGCACTGTTTCTTTAACTAATACTGTTGCTGTTGTTATGTGCTTTCTAGTCTACTCAGGCTCTCAGTGACCCTCTGTGTCAGAGTAGAAAAGACAGTAATATTTCAATAGTCCTGGTGGCACAGTGTCTGGGTGCTTAGCTAACCCAAAGGTCAGCAATTCACACTCACCATTCGCTCCATGGGGAAAAGATTTGGCAGTCAGCTTCCATAGATTGATAGCCTCGGGCTGGGGAACCCTTAGGGGCAGTGCTGCTCTGTCCAGTAGAGTTACTATGAGTTAGAATTGACTAGATGGCAAAGAGTTTTTGGTAATGATTTCTAAAACTAAACAACATTATTCGGTATGAAGGAGTTTCAAAAGTTTCCTGAAAAATTCTCTTGTTTTCTAATTCCATTTTCCCACGAACTTTTGGACGCCTCCTCCAATAACCCAGGGACTACTTGTGTCCCATTACAATTTTGCATTTGATCAATAGTTTTGTGTCACTCATTATCACAGGGTTATAATGTGGGATGACTAGGGCAGTAATGGCTTGCCTCGGATAGGTCAGAATCTTGGATAAGGAGGAAATGTGTGGAGGTGGGAACAGCTTTATAATATAATCTTACATTTGGTTGTAATTTATTCTTTACATGGTATTTTCCTAAGAATAGCTTCCTTCTGAAGTTTACCTTGTTGTCGTTAAGTGCTGTCAAGTCGGTTCTGACTCATAGAGATTCTGTATAGGGTTTCTGAGGACCAGCTGGTGAATTTGAACCGCTGACCTTGTGGTTTAAACCAATCTTGCAGCCCAGTGCATTATCCCACAGCACCACACCAGGACTCCTTAGGTTTATATTAATATTACCTTATATATCAACTACTTTCTGACTGGAAATCCAGGGTAAAAGGTAGAAAGCATTCACATAAATATTCTAGGTGACAAAAAGAATCTGGTTTAGAATGAAAAATGTGCCCAACTCAATAAAACCAGGAACCTGTTTTAGTATGATTACATAATATGTAATACTGTTATTTTCATTCATGTCCTGACAGAATTCTTCACTGCTGAATGCAATCACTGCGTATCTAAAATGCAATATAGGATCAAAAGCACTCTGTAGGTTCTATCTATTGAGATTTTTTTCAACAACTTTATATATAATGTTTTAAGCAACTCTGTGTTAGCACATAATAAGAAATCACCTTAGTTCTTTAAACTAACTGAAGAAGAAAGATGGACTGAGTTCACAGGAACTTTGCCACAAGCTATTTTCAATTTGTCACAATTAGATGGTTCAGAATATTTGCTGAGGTATATCTGCTGTTCATTTTATAATGCCCTCCTTTGACCCACTGGAAGATTTCTTTAGAAACCAAAAAATGAAGCATAATTATTCTGACCTTTTCATATTTACTAATCCTTCAAGATCTTTTGATTTGAGAGCTGCTGTCTTCAAAATTTCTCCAGGAACATCTGCTAGTTTAGCCACATTGAGTCCATAACTCCTTGCTGCAATTCCTCTGGTTATTTGATAAAGAAAAGTGACAAAGTCGGGAATTTGTCCTTCTTCTTTGCCTATTTAAAAAAAAAAAATCACTTAATTTAATTTTTTTAAACTAGCTGAAAACAATGTTTTATGAAGACTGTTGAAACTTTTGAACGTAACTTCTATATTAAAAAGTGAAAGATTCTCATAACATGGTGTAATACCTTCTTTAAAGACAGACAAAGAAATATACAATTTAAATAACAAGACTGAGAAATTCTGATTTACTAAATATTCTGGCTAAGAGTTATACATAATGACATAGATACTATTCAGTTCCACCCAGATCCCCTTTTAGAACTTCAGGGTTTATGCCTACAGCTGAGGACTGTGAGATACCATTTTTGGAAGCGTGCTAGCCAATAGTCCTTTCAGCTGTATACCTTCTTTGGGAACCTATATCCAGTGACTGATTACTGCGAGATTGGTGGTGGCTGTGTGCCGTGGAGTCGGTTCAGACTCATAGCAACCCTATACAGGGTTTCCGAGGCTATAAATCTTTACGGGAGCAGAAGGCCTCATCTTTCTCCCGCAGAATAGCTGGTAGTTTTGAACTGCTGACCTTATGGTTCGCAGCCCGATTCGTAACCACTACGCTACCAGAGGTGAGGTTGGTAGGCAGCCTCTTAAGAAGGCTGCTAAAGACCTTACCTCCAAATATTCTCATGCCCTTCCTCTCCTCTTGAGTGTGGACTGGGCCCAGACATTTACTTCTGACAAACAGAATAAAACTGATAGATGTTCCTTCTAAGATTTGGTTACAAAAGACTGTGGCTTCTGTCTTTTT